TGTATTGTTTCAAGGTTTAGAAAATCACTCTTTATCATCTGTTAATTCACATGACACATTAGAAGTTATTAAGGACAATGTACACTAAGTTATTAAAGATTTTTACTTTTACTACTGCGCCTTAATTGAAATAATTTCATTCTGTTGCCCAAATATAAGGGGTAACTCTGACTGTGACAACATTTCTTTGAGTTGTAATCTAGCCCGAGGCAGCTAATCTTAATCTGGAAAAAGGTTAAAATGTCTGTATCCGTCTTAAATGCTCTTGGATTGGTGCACTTGCACATAAATGTTGAGAGAGAAGTGAGTTTTGCCCTCTGTGTAAGATAATCACCTACTATTGAACTAGAATATAAACTGGTTAAGATCTGTGGAATGAGGAAGAGAAAGCAGAAATGCTTTGTTAAATTTAACTTGGAAAACCTCACAGGAAATTTAAATGTTTTCAATTTGTAGATTGGCAGAGTTGACACAAGAAGGACTGCTTAGTTAGGGTAAATCATTAAGTATTTAAGTGACATGACAAATTTGTCATATCCAATCTGAAGAGCTTAGCAGTAGATTTTCTGTTTTCATGGTCTGGATCTTTCATGGTAAGCACCTGTCATGTCGAGCCCCTGACATACATGCCAGCACTGTACGTTGTGTGCTCTCGCTGTTTGTGTGTATACCTTCAAGGTGTTAATGTGTGCACACGTGTAATGAAAGTGTTTGTCACCAGTCCCATCTCAGCATTTGAATTTTTGAAATGCACCAACAGGAAAGTATTCAGGGATCCTCAGCAGGCCATGACAGACCTCTCCACAGCACAACATCTTGAGTTTTCTCCAAATCAGGAATGCAAGGGCGCATTTGTGGCAAACAAAAACAATGATTAAAGAGGGTAACAGGATCAGCTCTAATCAGCGTGTCTTGAGAAAATGGAGTTTTCCACCACTGTCAGGTCACTCCAAGAGGTGATCTCTTTCCCTATTAATTATGTGCTGCGCTGCAGCAATAGTCCTCTCCAAGTGAGCGACCTTCTCTGCTTTCATATGTCTGTGCAGAATGATCAAAACATTGCAGAGAGACAGTGTGGAGAATCCAGCTCCCGGTGATTTGCCTGCCCTCTCATTTCTCTGACAGAGAACAATGGCAATCTCATTATTAATGGCACTCGCACAGAGAGAGCAAAGAGGGGGGAAAAATAACCATTATCCAAAGACATGTTCTATCGTGTGATAAATTCTGTTTTCAAAAGCCAAATCCTTTGGTGCCTCCCTGCTGAAAATATTCAGAGCTAGAAATGGAGATTTGATCATCAGATAAAGAGTGGACTGAGCATTGAAAGCCAGAGGAGGAGAGAAGAGAAGAATTATTATCATGCAGTTTGGTCTTATCTCTGATGGAATAGCTCAATGACATCCTCTATTTAGCACAAATGACAGCCCTCTTCTATTATCCTCATTGAGAGAGAGGTCAGGAGGGATGGAGAGCGCCTTCTTGCAATACAACTCTGCTGTGTCAATGCTGCCCTCTGTTGGTCAGACGTTACATATCTTCTAAAACTCTACCTCATTTTCAAACACAACACCTGTAACTTTCGAACTACAAATTAAATGTGTCAAATTAAATATCACCCCTGACTTTGCCAATGAATTCAGCAAATTGAACATTTTACTACAACTTACACACAAGGACTGATTATCAGATGTGGAAAAAGAACTCAGATGCTGTTTTTAGTAGAAATACTTTACAAATAAAAGTCATGCATTAAAAAAGTACAAAAGTATTTGTGTCAAAATAAACTAATGTATATTACATTAATTGGTTATAATTAGTGACGCTGAAGCTGGTAAAGATGCAGCTAATTTTGATTACTTTATATACTGCTGTGTAGTTTGTGAATTTCCCACCAGAGATTAATCTATAATATTACAACAGAATTAATTTGTTGATTATATTTAGTATTGTTAATCAGAATAGGCAAGGTAACTAGTGACTTAAGTTGTAAAACAAATGTAGTCGATATAAAGTATTATGTACAAGTACAAGTACCTCAAAACATGTTTTTAAAAATGTACTGAAGTACAGTACTCAAGTAAAAGCGGTTACGTTTCACCACTGCTGATTATGAGACAAAGGCCCCCAGTTACAGAAATGTTAGTTAGTTTGTTAGTTAGTTAAGTTGGAAGGAAGTAACTTTGGTCATATGGTAGCATGATATTCCCACAAATACATTGCATATCTCAAGCAGGTTAAATTATAATGTCCTAAACTAACCTGAAAGTGCTAAAGTGTGAATCTTCATGCAGGGCAATAGTGTGCACCAAAGACTCAATAAGATCTGATATGTATATGATTACATATCATGTCTACAGCAGTATTGCTGCAGAAGAACATGGGAAACAGGTTGATGAACTGCGCTCCAGATTAATTACTCACCACTCTTTAGTCAGGTTGCTATGAGAAATACTTAATACAGACCTCAATCTCAATTGTATCTGGAGCTCTAGTGAGCATGAGGGCAGGTACAGTAGGACTGGTCAGAAACAGTGTGTTGATGTATTAAGAGAGTTTTGGATTTAGCACCTATAACATAGCTAGACTCACTGTGGAGTTGTTTTTTTAAGAACCAAATTAATAGAGTAGAACCAACACTCAACACTCAAGTGACATCACTTGAGGACAGTTATGCAACTTCACATGGCTCCTTTTGGAGCCACAAAATGTTTTATACAACCTATATGTATGCAGCAGAAGTCCTAAAGACCTGAAAGTAGACTTTGATGTATAAAATCAGGGTTCCCCTTCATAGCCTAAACCCAAGTTATGACTTTTATAACATGCAGACAAGATGGACTGCAACCAGCTTGACCATACAAGACAAAGATGAGATGTGTATTTCCAAATTCCTAAGTGAGTGAGAGCATAAAAGTCGTTGTAAATGTTGTTTCCATAATCCATAAATTAAAGAAAGGGTGTGTCTATAACTGTCTATCTTTCGTTCTTCACTACAAGTTTTATTTATTGAACATCATTGTGGTCCAGCACATCTAAACACCTTACACAATATGCATTTTTCCTCTTAATCCAACCCCATATACAGGTGCTGGTCATATAATTAGAATATCATCAAAAAGTTGATTCATTTCAGTAATTCCATTCAAAAAGTGAAACTTGGATATTATAATCATTCATTCCACACAGACTGATATATTTCAAGTGTTCATTCTTTTTAATTTTGATGATTATAACTGACAACTAATGAAAATCCCCAAATCAGCATTTCAGAAAATTAGAATATTGTGAAAAGGTTCCATATTGTAGACACCTGTAGGCTACACAATCATGGGGAAGACTGCTGACTTGACAGCCGTCCAAAAGACGACCATTGACACCTTGCACAAGGAGGGCAAGACACAAAAGGTCATTGCTAAAGAGGCTGGCTGTTCACAGAGCTCTGTGTCCAAGCACATTAATAGAGAGGCGAAGGGAAGGAAAAGATGTGGTAGAAAAAAGTGTACAAGCAATAGGGATAACCGCACCCTGGAGAGGATTGTGAAACAAAACCCATTCAAAAATGTGGGGGAGATTCACAAAGAGTGGACTGCAGCTGGAGTCAGTGCTTCAAGAACCACCACGCACAGACGTATGCAAGACATGGGTTTCAGCTGTCGCATTCCTTGTGTCAAGTCACTCTTGAACAAGACACAGTGTCTTGTGGGCTAAAGACAAAAAGGACTGGACTGCTGCTGAGTGGTCCAAAGTTATGTTCTCTGATGAAAGTAAAGCATTTCCTTTGGAAATCAAGGTCCCAGAGTCTGGAGGAAGAGAGGAGAGGCACAGAATCCACGTTGCTTGAAGTCCAGTGTAAAGTTTCCACAGTCAGTGATGGTTTGGGGTGCCATGTCATCTGCTGGTGTTGGTCCACTGTGTTTTCTGAGGTCCAAGGTCAACGCAGCCGTCTACCAGGAAGTTTTAGAGCACTTCATGCTTCCTGCTGCTGACCAACTTTATGGAGATGCAGATTTCATTTCCCAACAGGACTTGGCACCTGCACACAGTGCCAAAGCTACCAGTATCTGGTTTAAGGACCATGGTATCCCTGTTCTTAATTGGCCAGCAAACTCGCCTGACCTTAACCCTATAGAAAACCTATGGGGTATTGTGAAGAGGAAGATGCGATACGCCAGACCCAACAATGCAGAAGAGCTGAAGGCCACCATCAGAGCAACCTGGGTTCTCATAACACCTGAGCAGTGCCACAGACTGATCGACTCCATGCCACGCCGCATTGCTGCAGTAATTCAGGCAAAAGGAGACCCAACTAAGTATTGAGTGCTGTACATGCTCATACTTTTCAGTTGGCCAACATTTCTAAAAATCCTTTTTTTGTATTGGTCTTATGTAATATTCTAATTTTCGGAGATACTGAATTTGGGATTTTCATTAGTTGTCAGTGTTCACAATTTGAATCTGCACATACAAACACATATTGAGTCAGAATTTGTGTTGACCAAAAAGATTGTATATGAAAGAACAAAACATAAAAGAAAGTAATAGAACAATTGTAAATAGTAGGTAGAAAGAATAACTTAAAAAACAAGTAATAAAATGGTAGTAGTTAGGAGGAGTTACTCAGAGACAACAGTCTCAAGTTCTTATTACATATTAACTCACTTTTAAGTGGAGTTGCTAACTCATTTTTTCTAGTTTCAAACATCCCTAATCCAGTGGGAATGGTGTAAGTGTCTCCCAGTAAAGTCTTGATAGGCATTTTTTAACAGCAGTCAGACATTTCATAGCAGTTAAAATACAGGTGTATTTAATAACATGAATTAACGTTGGCTGCATTGCAATTAGCAGTGCCAGCTCAGGGCCATTACTGAGACACTTCAGTAGAACTGAATCATCATTTATGTTATTAGTTCCACCTGTGTGTTTTCTGCTGTGACAAAACAACATGTCTGCTGTGAAAAAAGGTCTGTTCTGTCTACAACATTTGTGAAAAAAGGTTACAGACTAGCCTCTATTAGAATGATCCCAGGTGCCAAATAGACATCATTGTATGATTAGCATACACTAGGTAATTATTTTTTATTTTTTATAAAGTGTAAATATCTCAAGGTCTGCAAGTGAACATAAAACCTGTCATTTGTTCATGGTGAGTGTATAATTACAGACATACAGCAGATAAATGTACAAACTGAGTGGGGGACCGTGGGTTCGAGTGTGTGTTTTATTTATAAGAAGAAATACAAAATATAGGCAATTTGAATAATATGTACACTATATATTTCCAGCATGGAGAGTTTTTCATTCTCACCACAGCCAGTGGTTGCAGCTAGACCACACTAGGTGGCTCTGCTGTTCTCAGTTCATCAGTCTCTGGTCCACTTGATCAAAACCAAGGTCTCCACATGGGTGTGGAAGAGTTTGGTGGCAACCCCTCCCTCGGTGCAGGGTGCGGAGGGGATCTCAGTGTGGTGAGAGGGGGGTAGTGGAAGGCAGGAGGGCCAGAGTGGGGGACCGTGGGAGAGAAACTAAAAAAGGAGGTGTTGGAAGAAAGAGGTGACAGGCTGGGGGGGAAGGAGAAGTGAGAGGCAAATGACGGGAAAGGAGGAGAGGTGGCGTACGTGGAAAAAGAAGGAGAAAGCCAGGGAGAGGGAGGAGGAGACAGGTAGTCGTGGCATGGTGTGGAGCAAGAGTGAGGCTGGAATGGGGAGTGAGATGGAAACAACAACTTAGGAGACTCTTCTTTCCTCTCAGATGTGCAAATGGCCTCCACAGATGTTGCATCTGGCCATTTAGCAGCCTCAGTGTCCGTCATTCTCTGGCTGAAGTCTGGTTTTGTGTTATTCGGCGGCTGGCTCTCTGTGCGATGCTTCAGCCCCTCAATCAGGCTCATTCTCTGTGCCGGCGTTATTTTGTGCATGTAGCTGGTCAGCTGGGCCACACACTGCTGAAAACCTGCACTCTCTATGGTAAAGAGAGTAGGAGCATTGGACTCTGGGTGATGAAGGCTTAGCACAGCAGCATGCGTCTTCAAGTGACTGTCAGTGGAGCCTGCATCACGTGGAAAGACACCACGGTGAGGGGTGAAACACAAGTGGAAGATTAAAATACTGATTTATTGTAACAGAAAATTTATGTTTAAGAACATTTTAACAAGATAATGAACTATTCTGTTTGACTAACCATTGCTCTGGTTCTTCCCATCTGTCCACTTTTGAAGATATTCCACAGCCAAGTCAAGAATCTCTGCTTTCTCTATTTTAGGGTTCTGCAGCCGCTGTGGGTGAAAACAGAAATAATATCATTATTATACGGTTATGATTCCCTTGCATAAGTGTAGAGGCTAGATGTGATTTTCTTGAAATGACTCACTGGGTCAGATGTATGATTCAGCAGCAAACTCCTCAGTTCAGCAAGACTTTGATTTATTCGATCTCTTCTCTTCTTTTCCACAACAGGTTTCAGGACCTAGACAGAGAAACACAGCAGTGTGTGAGTGTGGTGAAGATGTGGTCACTTATCAAGGAGACCCAGCTGTTTGATCAGTGTTTATATGTGTCACCACTCACATCTAGCTCTATATACAATTTGTATCTGCAGTATCAAATGATATCACATCCTACTCAGGCCCCCTTAACAAAGGGTTTAAAAGTTACAAGTGATGCCTTAATGGTAAATAATTTACTAACGCTGTATAAATAATTTATAAGCCATTAATGAGAACAACTTTTAGTGAAAAATCTTGTTTGTTTGTTTGTTGTCTGCAGTAAATGATACTAACCTAATTCAATTATAAATCTGGCAACCCAAACATTTTCCTACAACTGCTCGTTACAGGATTATTAAAGAACATTACTTAAAACTTAAACAACATTTGTAAATATGTACCAAAAGAAATAAAAGGTTCTTACCCTTTTTCTACTCCTGCCATCTTCCAGAAGTGGATTTTGTAGTTTTCTGGTCATGTTGCAGTGTTTGGTCCAAAGGTCCTCGGTGGAAGCAGAAGTCGAAACGGCCTTCTGTTGCCTGTGTGCGATTATAAGAAGGCCTCGTGCTGCCTGTGATTGGCTGACAGGTGTGAGTGACGACACTTAACACCAAAATGGTCTCAACTAACTTTATAATGGCATATGATTAAAATCGAAACCAAATTTCAAACAATGATCAGGTGGTGAAGTGTCTGTATATAGGCCCAGCTTATAGACCTACAACAGTTAAAGGCAGCAATATTACCAATAACCTATAGCTTATCTTACATCAGATACAGACTACATATATAGATTATACAGCCTGTAGATTATAGTCTACATCATCAGTAAGCCTAACAGAAGCCTGCTGGTGTACGTTTTGTGGTTTATCAATAGGCCTAAATGACTCATGAAAGGTTATAAGGCGTTGTCTTATTTTGTAGTAAGAACACTGCAGGAACATCAGAGGTAAACATTGAAACAGTGTAATGAGTCTTTTCACACACATTTAATAATCGCATTAGGCTAAATTACTTTTTCCCAGAGAATGAGCGCGTGAGGTGAGACTCTGGGAAACTTTTTTTTCTCCTCGTGGGAACAGAAACTAAGTGAGAAAGTGAGCAGCTATGAGAACATTTTATGATGTGTGAGACATCGGCACTTTGCATTAAGTGATGAAAACGACCAAAACAAGAGCAGCGAAGGTCCAAATGAAGAAGACTGGCTGCAAATACAAGACACGGTGGCTTGTGCATTTGCAGTTATGAACCATAGCCTACAATAAATAAAAAATTCAACTTGGAAACAAGCTAAATTCAGGGGTCACCGCGCCAAACGGGAGCAAGTCACGTTTGCCTGTTGATGCGATGGAGTGTGAGGATGATTATTGCACCTGAGTGTTAAGTGTGCGCTGCTTCAGGTCGGCCTGATGTCCGATGTTTGGACTTCACACGGGATCCCTTTCCAAAATCAAAGCCGTTGTTGACCTCTCCACATGTTCAAAACCCCTGCACGCTCCATTTGATTTGAACTCTTTTGTCAGTGTGGCCGATACACCCGACAAGTCACGATATTAGAAAGTAAACGCTCCATTTCTCTGCCACCAAAGCGCACATTTTCACTAGCCTAATTAGTTTCCATCACAGGCTCAGGGAGCACTAGGTCTACTTATTTGTGGTGGGGGCGGGTCCACGTGGCTTAAATCCTACACACACTAGGCCTAGAGAGAGACTCTTAACGTCCAAATAGTATGAATCCAGGCATTGACATTAAATCTAGCCTGTGCTTTCCCCATTTATAGTCCCAATACATCATCATAGGCTACTATAGAATGTAGCTTATAGATGGAAGTAGGCCTATTTACTATAGTCTAATGGAAATTGTATCTTTTCCCTTGAGTTCCTCCTCTACCATGGTTACCAAGAGTGACCTCTGAGCCTTTACTAATCGCCCTCTCTTTGATTTAAAACGGAAGTATCATTGCCTCTGAAAAGCCACTTAATCTAGGAGATCCCTGTGATCCGATCATCCCAGTGTTATCTCCACACGTTAGCCTATTATAAGGATCAGGGTGACCATAAATGCAGTGCGGAGAAAGCTACCCCAAACTCAAAGCACATGTCGAGTCCAACTGCTGAAATGATAGGCCTAGGCAACATTATAGTAGAAACTTTTAAGATCTTGCCCAGAGTCTTCACGAAAGCACTGCGATGGCATTGACCCCTCCCCACTGATAAACACAACTCCTTCACACAAAACAAGCGTTTAGGTGTGAATAGGCAATTTGGCTCCCCAACACAAGGCGAGGTCCTATTTTAAGATATGAGGGTGTGGCGTTGGTTTGGTTTCAAAATCAACAAGCAGAAAAGGCTTCACCAGTTACATATGGCATTCTATCACTCAGCAGAAAAATGGTTGGGTTGGGGAAAAAAGGTCAAGTGAAATGTGACTTTTATTTGCAGACAAATAACAGTGGCAGCAGGGAAACGATCATTCCTTTTAGTCTTTTATAGCCTGTGTTCTGCGCTAAACCCTATAATGTGGTGGAAAGTAATCAAGTAAATGAAGGTCAGTATAATCAACAGACCTCAGTTTCATTCAGTAGTATTTCTGTAAATACAGTAAATAAAATTTTATTTAGGTCTACTAGGTCCATTGCATCAGACAGAAATACTGTATATGAATGATTCGATGAAGCCACAAATTTAAGAAAGTTTTTCTTTTAGGTTTGTGTGAATTTACCCTTCAATGGATTAAGAAACCAAAACCAGGCTTTGACATGGCACACTCTTTATTTTGGGCTGCAATTTCAGTTGTGCTAAATTAAACTTTCATTTTGGGGCAATTCTATACACAATATAGGCTATTAACTGGAAAATAGATGGAGTTGTTATTACGTGCAATATGTGAAGTCATATAGTATGATACGTTTGCTGCAAAGAAGAGGTTTGGATTTAGATCAATCCAAATTTTCTTTATTGCCAAGGCGGCGTGCTGCTGAATGAATAAGAGGCGTGTCCCGCGAGGGGCGTGGCTACACCTGCAGGGACGTCAACAAATTGAGGACACAAACGTGCCATTTTCATTTTAGATTCACACACAGATCCGACAGGCAACTTTTAACATGAAGTCTTTATCTTCACCAGAGTCCCCGCGACAAAGGACTACGAGAAGGGTAAGATGCTGCACATTCTAGTGTAAGAAACGCATGTGTCTAAAGTATTGTTTAGGGATATTATTGTAGCCTAATGTTTTACTTTTCAACCCAAAGCTCTCCAAACCTCTGATGGAGAAACGGAGACGGGAGAGGATTAACCACAGTCTGGAGACACTGCGACTTCTGATGCTGGAGAACACACACGATGAGGTATGTCATGTATGCATCATTTTGGACAAAAGGGTAATAGCTCAGTGTTTATTTTGTAGCTTGTACTTTATACCGACTTTTAGTGAGTGATTTGTACTCTGATTTTCCATTTAGAAACTGAAGAATCCAAAGGTGGAGAAGGCTGAGATTCTGGAGAGTGTGGTCCATTTCCTGAAGACAGACAAGGAGGTGGAGAGGGGTCACCGGGCCACGAAGAAAGTCCTGTCCAGGGTGCAGAGACCGACTTGTTCCCGCCAACAAAACTACCACGACGGCATGAGATCCTGTCTGATGCGGGTCAGCCACTTCATAACCAGCAAAAGCCAGAAGTCCGAGGAAACCGGTGGGGGTACAGCCCAGGCCTCTCTTGCGCATGCCGAACCCCAGTCTCTCCCTTCCTCTCCCGGACACATCCACGGGGCACTGATACCTGCTCCTGTTGGTGGCTCGGCGGCTCTGTCTCCTCTGACCCACCATCACAGCCAGCACGGGATCTGCGCTCCATACCAAACCCAGACTGGCATCCACTGTGACACCAGGGAGCTGCTCTCCTCCACTGCACCCCGCGCGCACACTGACCCTGTGTGGCGACCCTGGCCTCAGTGACAGACTTTGACACACATTTATATTTTAGATATGTACTCTATGCCGGCAGACTGTGTAAATATATAGTTTATTGTACAGCCTGGATTATTTTGTATAGTGAAGATATTTCCCCTGACAGCTCTCACATGTAAGATGGAGTTCCCCACTGATCTTCAATCATATTTTTTCTTTTTTATATTTTAGCTGTGAATATGTGATATTTTCAGAAGGCAGTGTCCGCAAGATTTTTTTTTGTAACAAACACGAATACTGTGTATTTGCTGTTGCTGAAGCGCGCGCGTAAAAGCGCTTTACCTTCTTTGACTTTTACAGCTGAGATGCTGCTCTATTGCTGCTATTGCTCTGAGATGTATATATTTGAGACATGATCCTGGAATGTATTTTATGATTGTGGCTGTTGACTTCTCTGGTCCTGTTTACAATAAAAGTACAATTTCCTGATCATTCCAGATTATTCGAGTGGCCTGTTTGCTGTGTGAACAGCTTGTACTTCAGCCCTACTTTTAAAGGAAAGTGGGACATTCACAGGACAGTTTTCAAATACTTTATCCGGGCTGAACAACAGTTATGAAACACTGTCCATTGACATGTTGATGCGAGGAGCTGGTTGCTTCTCTTCATCTTAAGTACGGTTTTTCAAATGAAAATGAGCGAACGAGAGTGGCCATTCACACACTGTCCAGTACCCAGACTGCTTCAGGTGTGGTAGCATCCAATCTAAATCCACAAATTCCTGACCCAACTCTGCGTTATATAGATCCAGGAAAATGTTAGTGTAGCCCTGCAGTTAGTATAATAAGCATAAATCAATAAAATATGCAGTATTTTCAGTATTTGTGTATTATTCTGTTACATAGCATACATAATTTCAAAACAAAAAACTGTAGGCCCATGTGTTTTCAGTCCCTTTTGGCTGACCAAAAACAAATGTTCAGCTGTTTTTTTTACTACCTAATGAAAATCTCCAGGTGCAGACTTGCACTGTTCGTGTTGGAAGAGCCACTAAAACAGAGATAGCAAACCACAGCAGCTGTCACTGATGCTGAATCATGCTTCCCATAGCATTAGTTAGATATGTTGTGATTTAGTATGATTAAGCACTGAGGGAACACTGTTAGCATTAACTGAGTGAATATACAATCATGTTAAAATCAGCAATGTTACCAAAGCAGTTTTAAGTATCTACAGGTTAGGCTCATAGACTGTAGATATCGCTATTTAAGTTTCAGAATTTGAGGATCTGATATGGTTTGCAGATTGAAAAGTGTGGACAGTGTGTTAATGGCCACTGTCGTGTGCTTTTCTACATTTGAAAACGGCACTAAAGGCAACAGGCTCCCGCTTATCAACACATCAATGCACACTTGAAGGTCTCCTAACTGCTCTCCATCCTGGGTTAAGTAGCCTATCCCCTCTCCCCTTTCATGGGAATAATAAAAGGCAAGTAGGCAGCTCCTCTCATCTGTAAAAAACTTGATTATTGCAGCCATAAATTTTAAATGTGCTGAGGAAGATTGAAATTGGGCTTTACACTTTGTTGATAAGGGATATAGCCTAAAATGATTGCGCACTGAGCAGCTTTTATTCCAGGGTACAGAAGATGCGTCTATAGGTTATATTCTATATTAGGAGGAGAATATTCGAAAAACTATAGGATTTATCTTCTTATGACCCTTTGATTGTATAGCCTAATAGGCCTACTGAGGGCGATATAGCACCATTATCTATCACTACTTGTGAAAATGAATTAATTATTATTAGCTATTAGCAATAGCCTACAGCAAATTAAATTATCAATACACTATTATATTTTCAGTCGTAGACTACATTCTAAGATATTGTCCGACCTTTTTAATTTAGGCTATGCTTTGGTCCTGACTGATGCGCAACTTCCGTTTAAAGTCGATCCACGTTTGTACAAAATAGCACCTGATTATAGATAAAAAAACACTTATTACACCATTAGTCGCTGTCTGTAACGTTAAAGCCTACGTTTATCTTAAAAGTGTTCTCTCTTACAGGCATTCCTTCAAAGCCTGTGTGAAAACATCCTCTATCAAAGCGGGTGTTAGTCCCGCTGGGCTGATCTCTGGACTGGATGCTCTTTTGTGCGACTTTAAGCTTTAAACCTCCTGGAGAAAAGCCCGCAGGACTAAGTAAATCAATTAAAGTTGGAATCAGATTAGGGTTTCATCTGATGGGCATCTGCCTAAATGAGGATTAAACGGGTCCAGAGGCAGAATTTATTGTCAGTGTATAACAGATAAGGATTAGTTAAATGCAGATATAAAGGTCTCTGGATTGTTTACTTTGGACAAAAAGCACCCGGAAATTTGCCTCAGAACAACTGCAGATTAACCTTAAACTTTAATTGCAAAAAACTCTTAGTTTTCAAACAGTAGCCTCTGACAGCCACCACACTGCTAAACTTTTCACACAGCAGTTGTTCCTGAAACTGTTGGCTTTTACCACATCGGCGCGAACACAATAAAGCAAAGTGATAAATCACCTTTTGGCCTCACCAACAAACCCTCTGATGACTGCAGTTCACATAAAAAGCCATCAGTTCTTTTTATAGAAATATCACATTAAACTTTTGGGCTTATTGTAAGATTGTCTCGAGTTTGTCCGTTTTTATTGCAGTAACTTTCTTGGACTTCAGCCTATCTAAAACGTTGCAGTCAAATTTGTTACAACGTGAATAAGTCAGATATAATAAGCTACAGATCTTACTTTAAACTTCTGACCATTTCAGCCTATACTTTAGATATAGGTGATGCACCAGTAGCCACGTGTCGGCCAGGTTTACAGCCGAAGTCTGGATGTTATAAAAGCAGCCCACCTCCAGGTGTTAATGGGCTTGCTGCCGCCCACGCGCCAGAGGTGACAGGCTCGTGCACAAAAAACAGCGTTTGGTGGTACAGTGTTATTATTGTGAATCTGAGTGGTGTAATTTGTAGCCCAAATTCAACACAGGCTGTATTAAATTAGCTTTTGTTATGGTTCAGCACTAAAAACAAACTAACCTGTAATTTAGACCCATATTGTACAAAAAAAAAACTTTCAATTCAAAATACTAATTTTTGTATGGCATGAAACTATTTTAGTAATTTATATTTGACTCCAGTATGTCAATGCATTCACAACATGTGTCGCCCTATGTGTGTGCTGGTTGTGTAGGCTAAGCTACATTGTATAAAGATACAAATTTGTTAGCTGACAGGCTAGCATGTTGCCTGCTCTTCATTATTAGGCTACAAATGTCGCCTAAGTGTTTGAGGGAACATTTGTGCTGTAGTTTACAGTGAATTATAGTGGGTCAGAAATATAGCTCAGTGGTGTATTAAAGAATTCAATGTACTGCCTAGACAACTTAAGCTGGCTGAGGCATCAGGAAAGATGTAACCAAAATATGCAGGGTACTTGCTGTTTTAAACGAGCTGGCGTTTGTTACAAAGATTTATTTGGGGGGGTTCTTAAGACCGTAGAAGACTTTGTTTTAGATTATTCATGCAGCCAAAATCCTCTGCTGGTGGTATAGACAGCAGGTGAAAGCACATTCATTAATGTGAACAAAGCTGCACTGCTGGGCTTTTTTCCCCCCACTCATGCGAGGTGTGGGCGGGTCAGTGACTGGACAACATCTGCTTCAGTGGCCACCAGCCTGCCCCAGCAATTAAAGCAAATGTTCAACAGAAACAAGCACACACTGAAAATGTGCCACCCAAGCTTGTTTAGTGTGATCAGTTCAAACTGAAGAAGGTATGACCTTTCATGAAAAACATGTTTATTAGTAACAACAGAAAAGTCACAGTAATAACGCTGCTTAATGACAAGATACAAGCAGAATTGACTCTGCCTTATGTTGTAGGTTTACATTTTATTGTGACTAACCCCTTCTATTTTTATCTCTATGCGCATGTGTGTGAGCATACAGCTGGATCACTTGGTCAAACTTTGCCCACAGCCAAGCCCTGAGCTCTCTGAAACTCCTGCTGCAAACTGGACAAGACTTCTCGATGCTGTTCAGATTTCTTTTCCATGTCTTTCAGGAGCATCTCGTACCTTTGACTGTAAAGGGACAAAAACAATGAGGGAGAATAAAAATGTAAATGAAGAATGAATTTCACAATTTTAAAGAAACAACAAAATGAACCACATTTGTGTTTATGTCCACTGAAAGTGCAAACACAAAAGAGGCGTTGCTCACACGTCTGTATAAAACATCACTTTTTCCCACTCTGTGCCATGTACTGATAATTCTATTTTGACTATATCTATCCAACACAAGCCTATGCATGGAGGTTGTAAATTGTCTGTCCATCCTACTCATTACTGCCCTCTACATGTGAGGGAACATGATAGCACAGCTAAGATATGCACAAATATCTACATTGAGCTAGTTGTACCTAGTCAGAGCCCTGTTTCAGAAAGCAGGCTTAACAAACTCTGAGCTTATCCCTGAGCTCTGGGTTGATTGAGCCTGAGGTGGGAAACTCTACTAAGTTCAATTAACTCTGAGTATGTGAAGCCTGATGGAAGCGAGTGTACGGGGAGGAAAAAAAGCCATCATAAATGTAGCTCCGATACTATGAATCACCATGGCAACGAGTAAATAAAGGCAGATCATCCATTTTAATCGGGTGGGGCTAGAAATGTGAATGCGTGCCAACACGGACCATGATAGGCTCTAAAATGCAGGAGTGGAGGAAGGATCGATACGTTACCATTAGTACTTTCTATACAGTGTTGCTCATTCATCATTTAGGCTTACCAGACTGGAATTTCCTTAATGAATGATAAAGAGCTACAGCCCATTACATTTATTAAGCTTTTAAAGATGCAGATGCTTTCTGAAACGGGGGCCCAGGGGCCTACTTGTGTTATGAATTTCCAGTCAACGTTGCTCAGGTGGCTGTTAAGACTGCACATATGTGAAGAATGAGACGGTGTAATATAATTTTAAAATACCCAATATCATGGTGCTATCTAACAGGAGTTACTGTATATAAAATTGAATAAGATTAATATATATAACACTTGAAGTTCCTGTGTGATACTTTTAGTATATTATGCAATAAATGTGGTGATATTTACCCTTTATAATAAATCATGCTGACAATTCCTTTGACATTTATAAAATCACAGCTAATAACGTTTAGGCTAATTATCACTTGATATAACATGATAGTCGCGTTTTTGCTTTAATACATGATGGACAACTGGCAGAAAGCCTATCAGGGTAATGGTAAACGTATCCATGCAAATTCACTGTCCAGGCAGGTAACAATACTCCAGTGTCCTCAACGTTAAGGCAAAAGAAAGCTGCATTTCTCAGCCACGTTTGGAAGAGCTGTCAAAATCGGACAGGCCTGGTTAGCCTGTAATGATGCACTCAATCCAGGAATGAAAATGGTGGCACAGTAAGTGAAACGGATTAGAACAGGTGTGTTTCAAGTGTTCTTATGTGTGACATAGGAAGAATGTAATGATGAATCATAACCACAGTGTATTTGCACAGTAGGTGCCTGCTAAAGTATCTTCTCAGGGCATGCAGAAACACTCCCATTTATGTGTCAGTTATAATCACTGCTACAGTACCATCAAATTAATTAATTAACAGACATTCAAATTAAATTTCACATTCAAAGATTTATAAATTGCAGCTCAATGCAATTTCTAATTCCACCAGTGACTACAGTCAGCTGTGTGAGCATTACTGACCCCTTTTAACTGAAACCACACTGGACTTATGGTTATATGGAATATGGACGTTTATACGACTGCTCTGGTCAAACTGGGTCCCAGTACACTGTCAAGATCTCTTAGCATAGCACCTGTACAGGATGTAAAACTACTGGCATGACCACTATGAAATGGACCACAGCTTTAGTGACTCACATCTCTCCGTTGATGTACTCCAGCCTTTTTGTGACTGTGGCTTTGGCTTCATCCAGGTCTTGCTTCACTAACACTGGGCCAATGAGCTTATAAACTGTGTTTGAGCTGTCCAGCAGATCAAGTTCCTGTTAAGACAGAGATCATATCTTTAATACTGATTATCCAAATACACAAGATTTACATGCCAACACTGGCAGTTCAGTTTTTTAATAAGGTAAATGAGCTGTGATTTACCTCTTTGACAATGTTGTTCTCTGTCAGCTGCGTCTCCAGCTTTTGTCTGGCTGACATGCTCTTGCTAACATCTAAACAGACATGAATTAGTGAGACTATTAATAGATATATTTAAATGTAATGGCAGTATTGTTGCAACCAAAAATACTACTTTCTATGTAAAGATAATATTTAAAGCTCTAGTTGTCCTAATATGGTTAGTTAACGTTAGCTCGACACAACATGGCACGATATGAGAAACCATGCAAGCTGGCACCTACCTTTTTGCATTAGTGTATATTTTTCTACTTCCGCTTTCAATTTCTTTTGAATGGCCTCTGCCATATTTGCGTTTGATCGAAAAAGTACTATAGATTGAGTAAATATAAGAGATTAGAGACAGGTAGCTAAATGTGGTATGACATGAAAGCTATGCGTTAGCTAACAGGAAAGGGCAGCGGCTAGAGCGGATATTGGCTGATCCCTTCAAAGTAAGAGCAGGGTTGTATATTCATTACAAAATATTGGAATCTCATAATAACTTTGTCCCTTTGTCTAAAAGTATGGGCTTAATTTTGAATGTTATTTATTTATTTTTGTGTTGTTTGTTTTCTTATTTGCCTGTTTCCATATTGTCTGTACTCCCCGTATTGTTGTGTCTGTTAATATACTATTGTATTAATAAAGTTTTGAAAAAAATCCTTCCAAATAAATTATCACGAATCAAGAACACGGATAAATAATGAACATTAAAGCTACTGCACAGTTTGTATATTTGTATTTAATTTAATTTACATGTGTTGTTGATTTATTTATTATTTATTCTTTTCCTCGTCTTTATTGAATCTTGAATTCATCTCTTACAAAGGTCGTTAGCCGAAACAAAAGTACGAAAGAATAATAGAACAGGACACAACTATAAACACACGGGTGACCTGCAACAAACAAACAACAAAGGCAAATATAAAATATAAAGAAAAATATATATTTTTTTTAATTTTAACTGTGTTGATTGCTTAAATATTCTTGAAACCAAATAAAGTTTTAAAATAATGTTTAATTTCTATCTTAAAATGTGGTCATTGTGGTATCTTTCTTTGTTCTCCTTGATTTAATGTAGTAGGTGATGATTTTTTTTTTTTTACCCTATCGCGGTTCCGGCTGTTTACGACAGTGTTTTACGACACTGCATACAACTCCTCGTCAGCCTGCATCAAGATGGCCTCGTCGTTTTGGAAAGGTGTTGTCGGCGTCGGACTTTTTGCCTTAGCTCATGCAGCTTTCTCAGCGGCACAACGTAAGTTTCAGTGCAGGGGATGAAAACATGGGCCTCGGTGTCTGTGTTTGTTCCAGGAGGGCTCCGTTGTCTCCGGTGAGGGTGTTTAAACAGCAGGTCGGGCCTTTCGGTCCAACAGCTAGCTACCTAGATGCTAGCGCAGCTTAGCCCCGCTCAGGATGAAAGACTGAAATCTTCCTCTGCCGTTAATGTGAAGATATCACTGCAAGTGAATACAACGTTTAGCAGGACTGGAATAGTGAGATATTTGAAAGCCGGTCTCCTGCAGACCAGTCCGTCTTAGCTGCTTAACTTAACTACCTCTGCCATATTATAATAATAATAATAATGTTCACTTGAATTTCTGGTTAAAATAACATTTCTCTCACCAGATCGGTCATACATGCGACTCACAGAGAAGGAAAACGAGACACTACCAATTGATGTGAGTACATTTTAATCTCAACAAATCCCAAAGTGTTGTCCATGCTACATGCTTTATTTTTCTTTTTGCAGATTGTACTACAGACCTTATTATCGTTTGTGATGACCTGTTATGGTATTGTCCACATTGCTGGAGAGTTCAAAGACATGGACGCCTCCTCAGAGCTGAAAAACAAGTAAGCTGAGTAGTTACCCTCCAGTGCATTTCTCCCTTGATAATGTGTGTGTTGTGATGGCCAGATGGAGCTTTACACAGTGTTTTTTGTACAGGAAAGGTTGATAATATAATGAGTGCATTGAGGAAATATTCAAAGGACAGAGAAACAACAAGACATCTCTCAAGATTATTTAGAGATTTTCTTTTCCTTTTAAAGGCCAAATGGTTTCAGATGTCATCACCTTTTTTTTAAGCTGCCAAAAATATATATGGTCACAGTTTTTAAATGGGTTCCATTCCAAATAATCTAGATCTAAGGAAAAACTGTTGAGCTAACAAAATATGTATTGCTCCCTAAAGTTCTTTTATGTGCAGACTGAGATTACTTACTGCATCACTATTTGAGTTCTCCAGTTGTAGAAGTCCAACTGCAAAAAAGAAGAAAGTTCTTTTGATGAATCATTTATTCTATGAAATGTCAGGTGTAATGTTTTCAAATGACTTCCTCTGTACAACTAATTGTCCAAATATGTTCACTTTAATAGGATAGAAAACTTAGGAAGGCAACAAATTCTCCCACCTGAGAAGCCGGAGGCAGAAAAATTGTTAACGGTTTACTCGACCAAGCATCTCAGCACTGGATAATTACAACATCTATAAAGTTCTGTCTAAAACAGTGCTTTTTATTATTTAAATTCACTCAACTTTGAATGCTTGTGTGCCACAGGCTCACTTGCTTCTTGCTTTTCATATCAATATTTTCCACTAAGATTACTTGAGGTGAAAGTGTCTCATGCACACCTGGCTGTTCATGGAAATGAGTTTACATCATACACTTTAAAAGTGTTTTTTATAAAACACCTTCAACTTGTGTGTAAGGAGCCGACACTTTAGACAGAAACGGTTGAAGGTATAATGAGTACGTTGAAGAAACATTCTTGACAACAATAATAAGGCATCTCTAAAGATTGCCCATGTGTTAATCGCCTTAAATGTCCTGCCAGAATCACGTACTTACATTTATTAATTTAGCTGACTTACAATTGCTATTTATGTCAGAGGTCGCACGCCTCTGGAGCAACTAGGGGCTAAGTGTCTTGCTCAGGGACACATTAAGATAAAGATTTAAGGGGGGAAAAAAAGATTCGAATGAAATGTATCAGTAACTTTATTTGCAGCATATGAGGAACAAATGTCTTGTCTCATTTATTTCTCTGCATTACAAAGAGTTGTGACTGTGTTTTATATTTACTCCCAAAGACTCAGGCACTACTGTGTGTCCTGCATGAGAATATAACAGGGCACACAGCAAGTCAGTGTTGTTGATATTGCCCCAAATCACATCAGTCAAAATTGCTTTCCAATTGGTTGATATTTGATTTAAAATTAGACTTTTAAAGGGAGAAGATGATTAATGTATTACAGTGTGCAGAGACGTGATCTGCCGTTGTAAGAGGAGTTAGTCCTGTAGGACACATGCATTACAATGCACCTGATGCAGTAGGTGTCCAACATGTGCATAACTGCCTGTTTGGCTCTTTTGAAAGCAGAACAGTATTTGTGTAGTGCCAGTGTTTTTATAATTGTATCCCCCTTTTCCCAGAACATTTGATACACTGAGGAACCACCCATCCTTTTACCTTTTCAATCACCGAGGTCGGGTGCTTTTCCGCTCGCCGGAGGAGGAGCCCTCCTCTGTTCGCAACCAGCAAGCTCTTCCCAACCCCATACGGCTACGCAAGCTGGAGCATTTGCACTGAGACTGGCCTTTCCTGCCTATAACGTCATCAATGTCAGATAAGATTTGTTTTTGTTAGACAGAGGGGGGGAAAGTGAGATTTCATCATCCTCTACTTTAATTTGTATTTGTACATAAACTAATATGCTGTCCAAACATGCATCTCTGTCCATAAAAGTGGTCACCAACATATTCAACAGTGACTGTGCCAACCCCTTCAATTTTTCAGGCAGATTTGTTTGTATATACAGTCTGTTACCGCTTTGGAGTCTTAAGATTCAGAGACATCTACCCTTTTTGTTCCCTTCTGATCTAAATTGGGACACCGCTGTCCTTTGTATATCCTTTGTATGAGGGACATACAACACGGTCTGTTACTGTTTCATTTCAACCACACAAGTCTTCAGAAGCTGTCTGGGCAACATTTTGTCAACTGAAATTAGTTTTGTTGTATGAACTGAGGACTCTTTATTTCCATGATTTCCCGATAGCATAAAGGCTCATCTGTACGTCATGTATGCATTAAAGAGGTTGGATATGTCACAGGAAATCAACCCAAGGTGAGATGTGAGAACAGAAAACATTAGACAGCCTTTCTAATGATACTGTGAACACTTAACGAGAAGGTAATGGTACATTTATTTGGGGATTTGAAGTTTGTTTTTCCTTCATTTTATGTTTTGTTAAGATTTAACAGATGTTTTTAATTTAATAAAAGACGTACTGATTTTACAAGGTGTCGGAATCTGTTATTTTCCAGATCTCCTATTCAGATGCTGGAATATTGCTTCTGCCAGACAAAAGGGATCCTAAAAAGACAAAACAGGAAAGCTTGGTTCTTCTACAATCCTGCCTAATCGGTGTGGAGAAATTAGTGACGAATGCTAATGGTATCACTGATTAAAGTAATTTGTCAGGGAGAGGAAGTTGTTGAAGTAATAAATGACGATGCAGAGATGTACCTGTGACCTTGTTGCTGGACAGCTGCATCACAAACATTTCCACCTGATCCTTTGCTCATGTTGGCCTCCAGGTAGCAGTCGGAGTGGTCAAGGAAGCCGCACCAAATCAAGAAGTTCAAACACACATTTATGTTTTATGTCTGTTTCTCCTCTTCAGTTTCAGCAGAATGTGGCTCCTCTTGGATTTGCATTTAAACACATTTGAGGCAAGGTTATTTCCAAATAAACATAACAGCCGCTATTTCTGTTGAATTTATTGATCCATCTAATGACATACACCTAACATGACAAGTGAAAACGTTGCCTTCATTTAAGGACCCACTAAGGGTTGCAAAATAAAAAATGTCTACTCACATAAAAGGTTCTTTTCCTCATACTTTGCTCTTTAGGTATGTTGTTTTATCATGAATTACTGAATAAATCTCTTCAAGCCGCTGAAATGATTCAGATAAAACAAGGACAAAAGTGAGCCTTTGCCAAGAATTTTGAGAAATACTGCAGTAAGTGTTGATGCTGAGAGCAACTTCACTTATCTATCTGAAACAGACACTTAATGAATGCTGATGTGGGCAAATGTTCAATACTTGTTCTGCTGGATTTAAGTGCGGCCTTTGACACCATTGACCATGGCATCCTGTTAAACAGACTGAGGCACTGGGTGGGGGTATCTGGTACTGCACTGAACTGGTTTGCCTCATACTTATCCAATAGGAAGTTTTGTGTCTCTATAAATACTTTTAAATCATCTTTCTATACCACCAACCTACGGTGTGCCTCAGGGGTCAATCCTTGGACCTATTTTGTTTTCTATATATATGCTCCCTCTGGGTGATATCATACGCAGGCATGGTATCTCCTTCCATTGTTATGCGGATGATACACAGTTATACCTTCCTGTACAGCCCACCGACCTTAGTATGCTGAGTTCATTACATTCCGTTCATTACTGCCTCACCGACATAAAACATTGGATGTCAAATAATTTCCTACAACTTAACTCCAATAAAACGTGTTGGCGTGCTATTCGATAATAAGTTATGCTTTGAGCATCATGTTTCTAAACTGGTCCAGTCCAGCTTTTACCACCTTAGAAATATCGCAAAAATAAGGCCTATTTTAAATGTTACAGATGCAGAAACTGTTATACATGCTTTTATCTCCTCACACATTGATTATTGCAACAGCCTCTTGCCTTAATCAGAAAACCCTAAATAGATTACAGACTGTACAGAACTCAGCTGCTCGGCTCCTAACTAGGACAAGAAAATATGATCATATCACCCCTGTTTTAGCATCATTGCACTGGCTCCCTGTTTAGGTTTAGGATTGATTTTAAGATTTTACTCATTACTTTTAAGGCTATTCATGGCCTGGCTCCTGATTATATTTTAGATATTTTAACTCCTTATGAGCCCTCCCGTGGCCTAAGATCTTCTGGCAAGGGCCTCTTGTCTGTTCCTGGAGCCAGACTAAGAACAAAAGGTGACCGAGCATTTGCTGTCAGGGCCCCCAGGCTCTGGGACGACTTGCCTAAGGAAATTAGGCTGGCAGGGTCGGCTTCCTCTTTCAAATCTCTTTTAAAAACTTACTTTTACTGGAAAGCATATCCAGATTTTATCTGAGCTGCCACTCGTTTTTCTATTCCTGCCCTACCGTTCTTATCACTTTGTTTGCTTGTCTTATCTTCCTTACCTCCTTCTGAACATATTTGTTATACTTTATTGTGATCCTTTTTCTTATATTCTATATTTTATCCCCCTGTATCTTTTACCCACGTGGTTATTTGTTTTTGTATTTTATGTGTGATTTGTTGTGAAGCACTTTGTACTTTGTTTGATAAGTGCTATATAAATAAAGCTTATTATTATTATTACTTGTTCATATGGGATTTAGTTTCTCATCTGTGTAGATATCAATATTTGTTCTACTCCAACACACTGAGATAATATTGATCAGTCTCAGCTAACACGTCTGTGGATAAAAACACGTTTTTCTGTCGACTGAAGATGAACCAGCTTGAAAGGATGTATGTTTGAATGCAAAATGTACAATTCTTTTGGCTCTGTAGGCTATTAAACGTCACTCCTAGATAGAAAAACACAGACACACAAAACAGGACATACCATTCTACCTGTGGTTTATTTTTTGTTTTGTTAAAAAAAACTTTTCCGTTTTATAGATGTATTTAACAGTTTACAAAATTGGCATTAAACATTTTTATTCAAAATATTTCTTATACTCTGAAATAAACAAATTCACAAAAATAATCTATATTCCTTATGAACATTAAAAAGTAGTGTACATCTGTCATAAAAACAAGGAAAACAGAGGAGCGCCAACCTGGGTTTATGTAAAAAGCGGCAGAGGGGAGATTACCAGCTGTTAAAGTTCAACAACAGGTGACTCTCGACTGAGCCCGGACAGATGCAGAAATTCCTCCGAATAAAGTAGTAATTCTGGGAATCAAAGGAGTGTTTGTGGTGCTGTGGAGGGAGATTTACAGGACACTATCTCTCTGTCTTCTGGAGGAGTAAACTAAGTGGATACTAACAGCTGCATTCACTGAACTCATATTCTATTGCTGAAATGGCGGATAATGATGCTCAGTCAATAAACCAGTAAACACAACTGTCTTGTGGTAGGTATTTCACGGAAAAATCCATTTCCAGTCCAACACAGTAATGTGCAAGTGTCCCAAAATACTGATACATCTATATACTGTCAGTGTGCGTCACTACAGTGTGAAGTGTTTTTACAGGAGAACTGTTAAATTAGTAACAAAATGGTCCCAATTCGGACTTTTAAATGCCAGTTAATTAGGTTAAAACAGACGTGTGAAGGTTGACTGGATTGCCAAAAACAGACATTTCCATGTGGATATTTTAACTTTCAGTGGTTTCTCAATTGATTTTCCTTAAGATTGACGATATAGCACTATTGCTACTGCAACATGAACTTACATTTAGTCTCCATTCTTCGCCCATCGCTACTGTTAATGCTTCAGTATCAGCTGTTACGGCGAGGAAAATATTAGGTAACAGTATCGTTTTGTGAATCAAATTTCTCCTATTCGCCATGAATCTACATGAATGCACAACATTTTTTTACAAAAAAAATAAAAAGAAATTGCAGTCTTACAAACACTTTTCAGACCAGCTGAAGAAAGGTCTATTTTTAAATAACAACAACTGCCATTTGAGGATCTTACGGCTTATTGTGTATCTGTCTAACAGAGTGTGTGTGTGTGTGTGTGTGTGTGTGTGTGTGTGTGTGTGTGTCTACTGAACAATGTGCCGATACAGACAAAAGCCATATGGATTTTTAAGGCATCTGTCAATTTAAGGAGGATTATATTCAAATCTCTTTACAAATCTTCAGTGGATGTGTCCTGAAGGCCCCTCCTCCAGTTAAACCCCCTACCTTTCGGCTCTTACAGGATGTGATGTAACAGCACAGAGACATTTGGAGCGTCTGCTACCAGTGCATTTGCACCCCCCCCCCCTCCTCCCAATTAGTCTTTTTGAGGCTAGTCAACACAGACGTCTCTTTTCAAGGTGGCTTCCTCACAAACTTCCATGATCATTGAGAAGCTGCGAGGATGTTGCTTGCTTCTTCTCTACCTCAGCGAGAGCCATCTCCAGCTGCTGGATCAGTACCCGCTTCTTGAACCTAGAGAGGCAAAGGAAATCAGAAAGAAGCAGAGAATAAATGGAAAACAACCCACCAGGGAACCTGCTTTAAAAGGCTATGAAAATGACTGCAGAGTGGTTATGAGTCATTGCTTCTTACCTGACAGCCTCTTTGATAGCATGTTGGATGAAGTACCTTTGAACATTAACTGGTCCTTTGACCTGCTGCAGTAGTCTGAGTATTGCCTCATAGTCTGAAAAAGACACAGACAGAAATGATGTGACCGCCAAATGTTCCCTGTATGACACTTTAGCAGATTAGAATAAAAACGAATGTAATGAGATACGCTGCACTGACTCATACTCACTTCGCCCAGGTTTGCGGACCTCCTTGATGACCCGACTCCTCAGCTCTGCTTGGCTGCCGTCTAGTGGGGCTATGAATATAGTCTCAAGCACTGCAGGGTCAGCTTCAGTGCCCTCTAAGTGGCTCTGCGGACTCAGTCTCTCACAGTTGTGTTTCTCCTCCAGCGACTGCTCATCAAGACGATCTTCCGGTAGTCCCTCCTCCGTCATGTGGATGTCCTCTTCTGGTTCAGCTGCCACCAGCCCGGCCTTCTCCTCTAGGCTCAGTGAGGGTGCGTTCCCTGCTACACTGTCAATCTCAGCGAGCCAGATCTCCCCTGACTCAGGCCCAAGAACCCCGTCACCGTTACTCTCAGTGACCACCATGTTGCTGTCATCCACTCCTGAGGGGGTAACAAAGTGCAATTTAAAACTACTATTCAGTGCACTACACTTAGTGCTGTAGAATGTGCGTCTGTATTCCTATGATCAACACATGCAGAATAACTCTCACATTCTAGGTACGTCTTAATCTCACCTTTGTGCTGGGGGATGGGTTTGAGGAGGTTCTGCTGCCCTTGAACCCCCACCGGATTCTTTCCCACCACCACATGGTTGGTGGTCACTGGTGGAGTCTGTGACCGCCGCAGTAATGGGGACATACTCCGCCTTCGCTTCACAGTGGCCCCTGAGTTGGAATCGCTGGAATTTCCTCTTTTCTTATTTTGAGGGCCCGCTACAAACTCATCTGCCTCATCGATCATCATCCCCTGAGATAAACATACGAGAAGACAAAACAT